ACATCTTCTCTACTGGACTAATACGACTTACCCATTTACATTACTATATATATATATATATAATATATTTTTCCCCCCAGTTTTTGATGGCATGGGGCAGAGTTAGAACCCCCCGTTAGGTCTATCTCTGTATGTGTGCCCACTGGGGAGATTCCCCCTCTCTATTTATCCTGGTGACCATTGTCACGGAGACAGGAAGTGATGGGAAATCCAAAATTTTACAGTTGTCACCAGTCCAAGAAAGGAGGATAAATCTTCATGTTCAAGGACATAACCCCTCACACCTCTCATCGGCCAGTTGTAGCAAGCAATATGAAAGGGAATGAGGGGAGGGAGCTGTGCCATCCTCAATGGACTCCCAAGAAAAGGATTTTACGGTAAGTTAAAGATCCTATTTTCCCTATCGACCATTGAGGGACACAGCACTGAAGAATTGTGAGACATAGGAACATTCAAACATAGTCCAAAGCAGAGGGGCGGGCACCATAAAAACTAGAAGAACCGGCTCAAATACTTAAACAGCCGCTTGAAGAACTATTCTACCAAAACTAGCAACAGAAGAGGCAGAAACATCAACTTTATAAAACTTTGCCAACGTGTGAACAGAAGACCGAGTTGCAATTGGAGTAAAAGAAGCTTGATTCTGAATTGCCCAAGAAGTACTATCTGCCCTATTAGAAAGAAAATAAACAGGAAAAGGAGGAACCTTACCCTGCAGCTCTTAAGCTTGCATGACAACCTGACGAATCCACTTAGAAATACCAGGTCTAGAAGCTAAACAACCTTTTCTAGGACCTTCATGTAAAACAAATAAAGAATCCGAGCGGCTAAAGGGAACTGTGTCTGACAGATAAACTCTAACAGCCCAGCACAACATCCAAACAATGTAGAGAAATTCCCCTAGGATGAACAGGAGGTAAAACAATGTCTTCATGTGAATGAAAGGCCGAAACCAACTTCGGTAAAAATAAAAACCTGTGATCATAGAACAACCTTGTCCTTATGTAGAACCAAATAGGGTTCCCCACAAAACAAAGCAGACAACTCGAAAACCCTTCTAGCTGAGGTAATGGACTCTCTGAGAAAACCAGAAAAACGCAGTAGATAAACACAAGTGTGTCATCAGTTTGTTCAGAAAATCTGTGGTGTCCTGTATGAAGCTCTCAGTTGTGATAACAAGGTGTCGTGGGACCAGGGGTGCCCTCTTACCTGGGGTCCGGCGGGTGCGACAGAGATCATAGGGTCCTTCTTGGGCTGAATTGGTGCCCGGCGGCGTGCTGCATGTGTGCACATGAGCGCATGCATGACATGCGTGCGTGACGTGCGCACGTGGCTTCTTAGTTGCTTCCTGTGCTGTTCATTGCCGGGGAGGGCCTTGCAAGCACTCCTCCTCTCCCAGCCGTCCCATTGGTTCGCAGGGACCTGTGGCTTCCTGTTGCCCAGACAACAGGGGCGTCGCTGGCCCCTGCTGGGTTTAAATCCCAGCCAGAGCCAAGACTTGTTGCTGAGTTATTCTGCCATTCCCTAAGCAACTACAACGCCTCATTTCCTGTTTCCTGTTTCCTGCCTCCCTTCACTGCTATTCGGATCTCCTGGTTATCGACCCCTGGCTTGCCTCACCGTTTATGATACTCGCTGCCTGCCTCGACCCGGACTGTACTCTGACAACGCATTTTGGATTATCCTTTCTTGTACCTCAGCCTGGACTCTCCTTCTGGGATTGTTCCCTGCTATTGGGTTCCAATCCAGCAAACAGGGGGAATTCGCTCCTTCCCTAGCACAAGGGGCTTCAGAATGTTTTCAATTAAGCCAGATATTTGTTCTGTAATTGTTTCCATACCTGTAATAATGGGTCGTCCTGGGTTTCCTGGCTTATGGATTATGGGCAGCATGTAGAAGGTCCCCATGTGGGGATTGGAAGGTATCCGATTAAGTAAACCTTGCTGTATGTGTTTTGGGAAGGATTTGATGAGTTTAGTAAGTTCTTAAAGACCCCTTAAAGAGACAGCAGGACATTTAAATAAAATCAGTCTCCATATAAATGCATTTAGCCAAATAGGAGTCTAAAAGCACAGAGCACAAGTAAATAAACAGGAGGGGAACCACCCAACCTTATAAATATGAGGTAAATACGTTTTTGACTCACGACTCCATGGCCCTGTTACCGACATAACAGTAATCCCCAGATATTAATATCCTGAACATTAAATGATGAGAACAGGAACACAGGACCATCGCACGACGAAGCATAAGTACTGAGACCAGAAACGACCTAAAGAAAATTCCAGGATTTAACTTATCCGGCATGAATCTCTCAGTTTTGTCGGCTAGCAACAGAGACTTCCAGGATTTAAAGGAGAACTATGGGGTCAGTGCTTTTCCCATAGTTCTCCTTAGGGTAACGGGAGGACACAAACTAGCGTCCTCCCGTTACACTAAGCTCAGTATACCGTGAGCTACAGCTCGCGGTATACTGAGACGCCGCAGCCGGAGCAGATCCCGACGTAGATGACGGGATCCGCCCAGCTGCGTGAGTGAAAAGCACTCACCTCATAGTTCTCTTTTAATAATAACTGATATTAATCAACTAGCAGCACTTGGTGGCAGAAGCTTCAACAAAGAAACAAAAAAAGCTAAAATAATAAAGCATAAAAAAAAAAGAGACATCCATTCTCTTGAGCAAAACAGGCAGGTGTGAGGTTGGGGGGTTATTTCCCTAAAGTGGCAGGCTTTTAATTTTGGGCCTAGTGTCCATATGTCCTGGAGGCAGCAGCATAATCCTATGTCACAGAATTCTGCAGAGCTGTGTCCCTCAATGGACGATAGAGAAAAATGGCTATATAGACACTATTGCTGTTATTCACAAAAGGGTGAAGAGTTTGGAGAAGGCAGGAGAAGTGAACAATCTAGGACAACATAGCTGAACTGGAAAGTGAGATGAATTGGCAACATAGTCCAAATCAGCTATGTTGTCCTAGATTGTTCACTTCTCCTGCCTTCTCCAAACTCTTCACCCTTTTGTGAATAACCCTGATAATTGTGGGGAAAAGGTATTTAGGATTTGTTTAGTGTCAAATGTTTTACCTAACCTTCCTAACCTTAGAAATATTCACTGTAATCCTTGTAACAAATCCTAAGCAACAGCACCACGAGGAGCCCCCAAACTAAGTCCCATAGACAGCAGACTAGGAAGTGTGTATAGAAAACTATGACAGAAGGGACAAAGCGGATGTAAAAAGAGATAAAAAGATAAAAACAGAACACATTTTGTAAAACTTAAATGTAACCAAGCAAAATGTTACAAAAGTTGGATTATGGCTCATTCAACAGAGTGTTTCACTGAGCTGCAGATCTATCTTACTTCCACGTACAGGTTGTCTCTTAGGTTATCAATAATCAGTCAAGTGGTGCAGTGGACTTGGCTCCACTTCTCTTCACTGTTTTTCAGTTAGGTATCTCAGCTGACCAGCAACTGGGACGGCCAAACACAAAACAGCAAGGTAAGCAGGCGTTACGTCAGGTGAACCATCCAAAAAACATGTATAACATCCATCTCTGTCAAGAGACAACCTAGCTAGATACCAGAAAAATGTACAGCTAGGTGATCAAGCTCATTTAGGATTATAGCGTTTTGCTGCAGAGTCCCCTACATCAATCACCATAAAATTATGACTTAAAAGTTCATTTGATGTGTCATGGTGCTCAGACAGGGCCAAAAGTACAAGCCCTGAAAATGTGTCAGGTATCTTGTAGCCAACATAGGGACAGGCAGCAGGTTTTCCGAGGTATATTTGATAGAGCAATTTCAGGACAGCTCAGGTTCGTTAATGCCATCAAACAAGAAAAATCCATTTTCATTGCCCAACTGTAAAAATTCAGAATTCTGAAATTGCGGAGACCTTTTCGAGGCAAGTCCAAAATAATGCAAGTTCAACAAGACAAAAGATCATTCACGCTGTCATTACGGCTATAAAAAAAAAGAAAGAAAGATATATCAAAACTTCACGCTCGCTTTTTTTTATCCTGTCAGTCAGGTGAGACAGCTGGAGCTGCTTGTCTTCAGAAACCGGTTTGCTGCAGCCACCGCAAAGATGTTTTTCTGTTGGGGACACAAAAGAGGATTAGCAAGTGTTTGGTCAAGAATGGAATTGATTTGATGCTGCTGCTGCGGGGTGAGAGATGAAGAATGAAGAGGGAACTGACTGCTAGAAAGCCGGAAGCCATGTAACTGGAGGGAATACAATATATAAATGACAGAAGAATGCCAGGATTTGTAAAAAAAATTAACCCTTGGTGTGGGGCTATCCATGCACATTGTTTGGTCTAGGGGGTAAAAATAACGAAGATATGCTTACCTGATTCTGGGTCTGGCCTGGCTTTTAGACCGGTCCCCGCAGCCTCTTCTACCCTGGGCTCCAGCAGTCTAAGGACCCATGACGTCATCATGTCTAATACAGGTCCATTAGATGTGAGAACGCCAAGGAATATATCACAGCCAGCCGGAAGGGGGGGAGAGGTGAGTGGTCACTGCCGCAAGACCGAGGATCAGTTATTTCTTCTTTATTTTCGCTCCTAGACCGAAACGAGTACTTAACCCCTGCAGTGCAGGGGTAGCCCCACTGCACGGGTTACTTTTTACAAATCCCGGAATTCCACTAATATTCAGAAACTTGTCGAATGCAGTGGAAAAATTAATGTGTTTAGATAACTAGATCCACCGGCCATCTCTTCTATCTCTCGGGGACTGTATTGGTAAGATATTTGTACTGAGTTCCCGGGTCTGTACACTCGCTGTGCCCATTATGAGGGGCTCCCTCCATCCCTGTACGGAGTTCCTTGGTCTGTACACCTGCTGTGCCCATTATGAGGGGCTCCCACCCTCCCTGTGCTGAGTTCTTGGGTCTTTACACCTGCTGTGCCCATTATGAGGGGCTCCCACCATCCCTGTGCTGAGTTCCCGGGTCTGTACACCTGCTGTGCCCATTATGAGGAGCTCCAACCATCCCTGTGCTGAGTTCCTGGGTCTGTACACCTGCTGTGCCCATTATGAGGGTTTCCCACATTCCCTGTGATGAGTTCCTGGGTCTGTATATGTACAGGACATATTTATAAAGCAGTGGATTTGATATTCAACAAACATTCACTGCAGATTTATCTTTTAGGTTCATATAAGAAAAGCAGTGTAAACTCGCATTGTACCCGCCCTCTGCTGCAGTTCTCCATCAGGGCCATCAGCAGAGGGCGGGTACAATGCTAGTTTACTACTGGCTATTGCAAATTGAAATAGCCAATAGGAATCTAGCAATGCATTCCAATGGGCACAAACATTTTTTTTTCTATTCTGGCACGGCTCCGTGTCAGAATAAAGAAAAAAAAAAGAAAAATCAGTGTTTCTCTCCTGGGCGGCCGGGAGCGGGAGACTCCCAGAGCACCCGGGAGATTTTTTTTTTCTTTTTTTTTTTTACAGCAGCAGAACCGCCGGACAATAGAAAACTGTTGGGCGGAGCTAGCTGGCACTGCTAGCTTCGCACAATCGTTTTCTATTTACTTTTTAAACTATTTTTCTGTTCTGCTCGGTCCCTCTGAGGGACCGAGCAGAACAGCCGAGCCGAATGCCGCTCAGCGGCATTCGGCTATTCACTCACTGCTGTTCGGCATCTATAAGAATAGGCCGAACAGCAGTGAGTAGCCTGCCGGAGGTTCGGCTCAGCCGATCCAGATGTTTGATCAGCTGAGTCAAACTCCTTCTGCACTTTGGGTCAGCAGAACATGTTGAGCATGTTCGGTTGACCCGAAGCCATGTGAAATCAGCCGTACCAGCCTGAAGTGAATAGCCGAACAGTGTTCGGCTCACTTCACTTCAGGTCGGTCATTCACTCGTCTGCCTACGGCAGCTTAGTGAATAGACCCTATAGAGAGAGATCAGTGTTTTAACATTTTAGAGCAATTAAAACAGGCTGAGGGCAGATGGTTAATATTAAAAATGGATATTGAAAACAAATGACATTACGATATTTATCCCTTTTGGTTGAACCCGTAAGATACAGGATGACTGTTGAAGACAAAGCGATGACAGTTTTATAAAAACAATATGGAATTCTCACCTTCCAGCGTCTCCTCATCATGTATTTGCGCAGTTCAATCTGTGACTTCAAGAGTCTATTACATAGTTTGGCCTTTCTCGCAAGGTCATTGAGCCAGGGATGTTTAAGACACTGACCTGCACTCATCCTCCCACTGACAAAAAAGATAAATAATTATTAATGATATAGACTAATAATAGCAGAGAATAAAATCACGGGTGACATTGTGGACAAACTCTGAACATCAGCTTGAGATGCTGCTGGACTGTCCTATTAAATAAGTGTTAGAAATGCTATGTCAGATGGCTGTCAAGACCTTCGAGTACTGAAATTACATTTTTAGACCAAAACTAACATTTCTACATTTGTCAGGTTAAAACCAAAAATGACTTTTTTCCAACCTTTTAAAAAAAAATTTAATGATTTTTTATAATATTATTATTTAAATTTTTATGGATTTTTTTTTACTTTACTGTTTGTTTGGGAAAATTGTTTAGACCCTTGATATTTCCCTTCTGACATAGAAAAAGAGATTGATGACACCGAGTCCTAAATCTCTTTTTCTGCAGTCCCTGTTATGAATTAACAGGAAGCCTCTATACCGAGTTTCCCCTGTCCATTATAATATAAGTTACTATGTCCACAATCATGAATGAACAGGAAGTGATGTAGAGCACATTTTCTTCATTCATAATTTGGGCACAGTGACTAAATACTAAGTCCTCAGTTATTTACCAACACCGGTGTAATCAGAACTGGCCACACCGATGTTTGAGCAGTACATGGAAGGGTCAGCAAATATTTCACATTTTTTGATCCTCCCTGCTCTCCATCCTAAATCGTCCCACCCCTCCCACAGCTCTCCTCCTCCCCGCAGACACGGTCAGTCCTGACAGCTTCTCTTCTCCCCACAGGGCGCCAGAAGCTGGATTGGCTCTGTGTCTCTTCTGATCCCTGCTGCCTCTGCTGACACAGGAAGCGGGGATCGGAGGGGACACAGACCAAAGCCGGCACCTGGCACCCAGCAAAGAAGCTGGGGATGCACCACTTTTTTAGCCTTGTTTTCTTACTACCGGCATTTTGCCCATAGTACCATTTTCGGCAGCTGAAATTTTGGTGCATAACTACCTCTAGGACGTATAGTTCTTCATTGGTTGGAGGGATGATATTTACACACATACTATCCTGCCTACTACAGCAGAAGAGATTAGTACAAACTAGGAGACATCAAGCTTCACAGATCCTACGCAGCCATGATATTTGCTTGGAGAGTGCAGATGGAACATTTTTAGAACTGAATCTTAAAGGGCTCTAACCTCTTATCTCTGATCAGTAGATTGGATATAAAATCTTTAGCTTCTTCTGAAACCTGTTCAAAAGGTTCTTCTTCAAATCCTGCATCACCCACCAATATATTGTTCATGGTCTCCGTATCATTCTCGCCAAGAAAAGGGGACAAACCGCTGACCCTGTGAAGACAGGAAGTGTCACTGACCACAAACAGGGAAGAAGGCCAGTCCAACAACAACTTATAAAGACTCCACACAATTATCAGTCATGCAGTTTAATGCCACATGGATGCCACTATCTCCTAACGGACATGTTTCAGTCTATGACAGTTTCCTACCTAACAAACAGTATTACTTCCACTTTAGCAGATACAGTCAAAATGATATGTATACCTGAACACAATTTATAATGCAAGATGGGAATAAGCTGACAAAGCTAAATCATTTTTGCAAGGTAAAGGAGAACTATGGGGTCAGTGTTTTTCCCCATAGTTCTCCTTAGGGTAACGAGAGGACACAAACTAGCGTCCTCCCATTACCCAAAGCTCAGTATACTGAGACGCCGGAGCGGATCCCGACCTGGATGTCGAGATCCGCCCAGCTGCGTGACTGACAGCTGGCTCTGCCTATCTAGAGGCAGAGCCAGCTGTACCCGCCCCCTCCCCCATCCGAGAGGGGAATCCAGCCCCTCTCCCTGTCACGGCAGAGAGGTTTGAGAGGTGAGCGAACCCGGTATGTGTTCGCTCACCTCCCGATCTACTGAGCCGACCTGTGACAGTCTCATTGTCACAGGTCGGCTAGAACTATGAGGTGAGTGGAAATCACTCATCTCATAGTTCTCCTTTAATAGCTGTGTCAAAGCCTAAGACAGTGGTGGCGAACCTTGGCACTCCAGTTGTGCCAAAACTACAAATCCCAACATGCATCTGCCTCTGGGAGTTATGTCTGTGGCTGTCAGAGCCTTGCAATGCCTCATGGGACTTGTAGTTCCAAAACAGCTGGAGTGCCAAGGTTCGCCACCACTGGCCTAAGAGGACCCGAAATTGATGTTTCAGTTTCTGGTGAAGGCTGGAGAGATAAGCTGACAATTACATGCATTGCATTTTATACAACAGAGTATGTAACAGGATGAGCTGGAACAATAAAGCTTCCTGAAGAACAGGCAAACATTTTGGATTTACAACAGGGATATCTCGTTTTTGGGGCATCCAAGACATATAGAATTCCAGGAGTGGATTAGCCTAGAAGGCTCTACCCTAAATTAGGGGTAAGTCTAAATCTTACATAAGCAAACCTGTGCCAATATTTAGATTTTGTTTCTGTGCCCTGGATTTCGACACCCGTTTGTCAATGCCACTCTTGCTCTTCAATTAGAAGCAGCATCGACAAACCTCTTGTCAATTTTAGCAAGAAATTATTTATCTAATGTCCTAGATCAGGGATGGCCAAACTGCGGCCCTCCAGCTGTGGTGAAACTACAAATCCCATGAGGCTTTGCAAGATTCTCACAGCCACGACTCCCGGAGAGAGATGCATCATGGGATTTGTTGTTTCACCACAGCTGGAGGGCCGGAGTTTGGCCATCCCTGTCCTAGATGATACGGGTCTATGAGGTGGAGCATATTGTTATATCTCCGTATTCCAGCCAAATTAAGCCTATATTCTTCACACTGGGTTAAACACTACAGAAGAAAAAAACACAACGATTTAGGATTTATGGTCATTAAGTTTAGCCACATGTATAAAAAAATCACACCATTCAATATTACATCATGTATGTGATGACACCAACACTCCACATGTCTGTAGGGAAGGAGACATTATCGAAATTGATCACTTCTGGAGACAAGAATTCCGGGGTCCCGAAAGAGACTTTCAGCGTATTCTGCGGTTTGTACCTGCATGAAGCACATATTTATCAGGGGAACAAACAATTCATGGGTAACAGAACACTAATGGGCAACCAATCACATTTCAAGACACTGCAGGCCGATCATTAAAAGGTAAATATCTTTTGGCCACTAACGCATTAGTACATTGCTTTTTGTTTGTTAAAGAAGCAAGCCAGAGCAAGCAGTCAACCGTGCAATCAGGAACGACACCGAGCTGCTATGATATTAGGTAAAACATAGTTTGGGCACTGCTTTTTGCTCTATTAAAAAAAAGCCTGATGAGTAATCAATACTGTACACTATTCTAAAAAAAAAATGTGAGAAACAAAAGTGGAAGTGCTGCCCATAGCAATCAGATTCCATCTGTTATCTATTGATGAGGACCTGCTATGGGCAATGCAGTTCTGCAACATCCACGTGCATAAACTACCAAGATCCCCCAGACGCAGATCAAGAACAGACACGGGAACAGATGAAATCTTTTCTTTTTTTTTTTATATATTTTGTTTATTTCTTTTCAAAAAATAAAATATGTTACACTTTCCAATGTGAACTCAGCATTTGCATAATAAAGACCAGACCCAGGTTTCTGGGCCCCGGTAAATGGCTGGAGCTATGTACACCAGCCACATACCTGCAATTTCAGGTGAATTTTAAAGCATGCATGATACAGACATATGAGAGAACAATACACAGCACAGACTGACACAACATGTATTAACATGGATTAAAACAAAACTGGAACAGAGAGCAATGTACATTGATCACACCTTCGGGCCAGGCCAAAGTCTATAATCTTCACCATATGGCTGATGGGGGACACGCAGACAATGTTTTCTGGCTGTGGGAAGCACAGGAAAGGAAATAAATAACAGAATTAAAGCTGCAATTTGCAGAATTTCAATCATATGTTTTAAAAAGTAGATCTTGTGTAATAGATCAAGTGGACACTCAATGCTCAATCTGCTCTGCTCTGTTAATCGACTCATTTTACCCAATCGACTAAGGGACAACATCTGATAGAGTTCCTCCTAAAGCGTGCTAGATCTATTCGTTAGACTGTCCAGCATTACATAAAAAAAAACTATATCCATTGAAAACTAATATTGCAATTCTTAGTGAGGTATGCCCCCCTTATCTTCAAATAGATCAAGTTAAATACAGAGGTAGACTTGAGACTGCACTCTAACATAGTGTAAAGTTTCCCTATGCAAAAGAGTGCCAAGGCATTCACCGGCGGTATCTTTTGTGTGCCGGCCTGAGCCAATTTGAAAAGGGCAGAGACGTCATCCCAGATTTGTGACAGCACCTATCTTCCTCACTGGCGGGCAGCTGGGCCCTGGCCATTGGAATAGCGCCAGCATGCAGGACCTGAGCAAGCAGACAGAAAGCTCCCTAACCTGATACTGTACCAGTGTTAAATGTCATCTGATCTGACCGACTACTGTTCAGACTTGGGGGTGCTCTGATAACAAGAGCTGTCCAAGCACGATGTGTGCGATAAACATACGTCCCCTCTTCTGACCAAATCTCTACCGGTTTCTTAGTTACTGAGCACAGGAACTTTCCGTGAGGCTTTCAAAGGTTACAGGTCAGGGTTGCTGTAAGCAGACTTGTCTGACCTCTCCACCTAAGCCTAGGGGATTTGGGCACTCATATTCTCATAGGCTCCTATTAATATGCCGCTCTGGAAAGCTGCACAAACAGATCTGGAACAATATATCAATATGTATCTGACAGGGGGAACTGGACAGCAGAGGAGACCTACTCTGGTAAACATCTCAGAGGTTATTAACAGCAAAAAAAAAAGTGCTTTTTCCACTTGTCTAATGCAGTTTGGGGTCTTGGATGGACTAACACAGTCCGATATTTGCAAGCAGTGCTAACTGAGTTTTGTAGTTTATGGTGTCCCAGCAACTTCTAAAAACAAGTCCTCCCAGCCTATCCTTATCCAAATCCAAAATAAAGAAGCCGGCGGCTTCGCCTGGGACCTTCCCCTGAAGAGTAGGTTCCTTGTGTTGCTGGTCCACAACAAAAAAGCGTAATTTATGAAAGATTTAACGGATAGTTTGGGGCATGCATGACCCCCTGGCTGGTAACGGCACCTGGCTAACTAAGGGGGCGACCCAGTTTATAGGGCTTGGGAGCGGCGGACAATTTCCTAACGTATCCTGGATGGACTTGTATAATATCCCTTGAAGCCAAATGTAAGGACTTACCACAGATTTCTGTGTTGTGCAAATTCCCTCTCATGCGTTTTTGGGTGAGACCACAATACTGGAACCAGGGATCACACTATCCTGTGTTTACACAGGCACAGACTCTGACTTTTTAGAAATAAGAACACCAGCAATTGCAGTGATTTTGCAGAGATGCCTGTCACAATATAAATACCCAGAGAAACATTGGTAGAGTAAAGGGCTCCAGTAGATGGGCAATGCTTTCCTGCATGTGATTGCTAAACTTTGTGAACCGATATCTCTTAAACCCCATTTTACATAAAGTTATAGCAAAACCTATTTTTTTAAATTTAATATGATTACTCATGCACACATCAGATATGCAATTAAATTGGCATGACCAGTATGTCAGGGTTTCCCTACTCATGTGGTCAGCCAACTCCTCCATGTGATAACACAGAATTACATTCAAGTCCACATGAATGTAGAAAAGGTCACTCGCACTCCAGCTTAATGTCAGTCAATATTTACTGACCTTTGTAGTGTCACAGTATAGCGACGTTTCGGAACCGCTTGAGGAAGAGACCAAGTGGTTCCGAAACGTCGCTATGCTGTGACACTACAGAAGTCAGTAAATATTGACTTGCGGAGGCATCTGCTATCACTTGGCACCCACCCGATACTTAAGGGTTCTATCCCGTCAGGTGTGCGATGGGTTCCATTTGAACATACCTTCAAGTCCAGGTGCAGCACGTACATCTGATGCATGTAGAAGATGCCCTCACATATCTGGCGCACAAAAACCATAGCATCCACCTCCATCAGTTGATAACTGTCATCGATGATTCTCTCAAACAGCTCCCCTCCGCCCACACTGTGCAAGCAGCAAAGATACACATTTCACAGGATTGTAGAATAGGATCCAAGGTGGTAAGACAAAAAAAGTCAGGGAAAAAAACAGGGAAGTTAGAACAATATCTTCCTATCACTTCCTATCCTTATTGCAAATTTCCTCAGTGGGGACAGAAATTGCAATAAAAACCTGAGAGAGGCCCTAGACCTTTCCCTTTTGTTCAGGATTTGTGTCCTGGTGACACCCGTTCTCCTCATTCTTGTCATGGTGTCACCAATTGGGGTAACCATCAGCAATTAAAACCTGACTGGTTCTAACTCTTCCCTGCTCTATTCAAAGGTAAAATTAAAAACAATTAAAAAAGAGTTGGACTTCAAAGCTGAACTAAGTAAATATACAGATGAAGAACATACATGTGAGCTTTCACTTGCCAAAGGATTTGCATTTCTGACCATTCTCCTGAGATTTACACAGCTCTGTCACACAGCACAGGCAGGTAGATGATACCGCTTACAGTTAAGGATTGCAGCCTCATCCTTCTGATTGAAAAGTTAAAAAAAAGCAGCAGCAGACTGATGAGGTCACTCAGTCTGCTCTCTTCCCCTATCAGTATGTTCCTTGTCAGCACAGATGCATTTAAAACACCTGATTGGCTCCCAGTCCTGTCCTGCCTTCTCCCAGTCTATGTGTTGCTGCATAAGGGATTGCAAAAGGCTGATATCAAGTCAAATTTAAGTACATACACTAGGTGCATAATAAAAAACACATGTAATGCTTTATGAATACATACCGAGCTGCATTAACTTGTGTCTTTAATATCTGCCAGGAGTTCAACTTTAGAGCCCTTTATATAACCAAACACTGCCCAGAAACACACAGACAGCAGCAATTTTGCCCCCTCAATCCATAAAGCTAGCTACATCCTCTATAAAATCTATAACAGTGAAGAAATACTATAACACATTAGTATTGTTCTAGGCAGGCTTCCCACCAATGCGTTGCAGTAAAATGAGCAATAAACTACAACATACCCACAGCGGGTACAGAGGGGGCAGCAACATACAATACAGCAGTATTTTATCTCTTTTACAACAATTTTATCTACGTGTTCAGCTGTTTGAAAATCTATACAGCTTGTTAGGATAAAAAAGAAAATTGCTAAACCCAATTTTGTTTAAAGGCAGCGGTCTAACGATGGAGCAAGCCAAGGAAATGAAATATGAGAAGTCCAGAGTCTGCAGCTTCACCCCAGGGCTTTTATGTCTATGTACATACCTGTACAAAGAAACAAATGATTGCAGGAAGAACTGACCTCCAGCAGTCAGAGACGGCTACATTTAGCAGGAATGTGAGATATAAAGAAATAAAAGAAAAAAAAAAAGCAGCAGGACTCACTATTCCAGCAATAAGAAGATCTCATTAGGGGTTTCAATAGCATCAAACATCTGGATGAGATTGCGGTGCTCCAACTGGTTCATTACATTTATCTCATTCAGAGACATTTCCTGCAGAGAGAGAAGAGAAGGAGGGTGGAATAAGGTGGTAATAAAGAGAAAGAGCTAGAAAGACATTGATGGAGAGTAAGAAACAGGAGAGTGAGAAGGAAGAAGGGCAAAGCGAAGAGGCATGACAAGGTTTGTACAGTATATATATATATGAGAGAGAGAGAGAAAAACAAAGAAAGGAAAGAGAGGAGAGAGGAGAAGAGGAAGGAGAAGAGTGAAGGGAAGAGAAAAGCAGAGGGCAGATAGGAGTGGATGGAAGAGAGGAGCAGAGGCAAGAGAGGAGCAGAGGGAAGAGAGGAGCGGAAGGAAAACAGGAGGGGAGGGAAGACAGGAGGGGAGGAAAGAGAGGAGCGGAGGGAAGAGAGTGGCAGAGGGAAGAGAGTGGCAGAGGGAAGAGAGTGACAGAGGGAAGAGAGTGACAGAGGGAAGAGAGGAGCAGAGGGAAAAGAGGAGTGAAGGGAAGAGAGGAGCAGAGGAAAGAGAGTAGCAGAGGGAAGAGAGTGGCAGAGGGAAGAGAGTGGCAGAGGGAAGAGAGGAGTTAAGGGAAGAGAGAAGCTGAGGAAAGAGAGGAGCAAAGACAAGAAAGGTATAGAGAGATGAGCTTAGGGAAGAGGAGAGGAGAAAAGAGGTGAGAGGAGACATGAGGAGAGGATAGAAGGGAGGTGTGAGGAGAGAAGTGAAGAGGGGAGTGAAGGGAGGAGAGGATAGGTGAGAACAATGAGAAGAGAAGTAAAGAGGGGAGTGAGGGAAAGAGAAAAAAGTGGGAAGAAGGGAGAGGAGAAGAAAGGAGAGAGTAGTCAGAAGATGAGTGAAGAGGGAACTGAAGAGATAAGTGATGAGAGGAGTGAGGGGAGGAATGAAAAAGGAAGAAAAAGAGAAGTGTTGATCGGAGGGAAGAAGGGAGAGGATAGAAAAGGAGTGAGGAGAGAAGTGAAGAGGGGAGTGTGGAGAGGAGTGATGAGAAGAGTGAAGAAGGGAGAGAGGATTGAAGAAGGGAATGAGGAGAGCAGAGAGGAGTGATGAGGGGAGTGAAGAAGGAAGAAGAGAAGAAAGGACAGAAGATAGAATGAAAGTGATGAGGGGAGAAGAGAGAACAAAGGAGAGAGAGAGATGAAAAGAGAAAAATAGACAGGAAGACAAAGAGAAGACAGCTTCTGCAAGGTACAAGGTTGCATACAGGATGACACTTTGCAGACGTGAACATTATAGGCCTCCCACATTTACCCTGTCTCGTTCATTGTGGACTTTCAGAACTTTAGCTACAAGTTGCATACCGGTTGCCTTCTCCGTGCAGATGTGGACCTCTCCAAAACGGCCTCTAAATGCAGAACAGACATCATGACATATCTGACACATTTTGTACCCGTGACAAACTCTGTACCCAACTTAGGTGCTCTAAAAACCCTGACGTATGTCTCATGGCATTATTTCCCATATAAGAATCTATCGGCTGCCATGTTCTGTTTCCACCAGCAGAAAATTGTCCCAGTTAATTATCATCTCTTATTATCTAGTCCTATTGGCCTTTGCATTACAAAAAGGTGCATTATGTTAACTATCTTGAACCATGCTGCAGAGATTTGATCAAACCTTTTAGTCTGTGATATAATGCTGTCAAAGATTCGAAAGGCCCTTATCTTTAAACGTATTATAGGCTTGTTCAAAAACTCAGCCGCCAAAACACACTAGTGTAACCCCATAATCTCTCTTACCCGCCAAGAATGTCATCCATGTTTAGGTCATACATATCTGTAATGTTTTCAGTCCGGAGAGACACAAAGCGATGAGGGAACGGGGCTGGGGGTGGTGGACAGTCATCTGTCGAAAAATAAGAAGCATGTGATCTTAATGCATATATAAAATAATTATAGGATTATGTGCACTACCCGGCAGTACCAAGTTCTGGTGTTTTATGGGTAAGGACATCCTCAAGAAATGGGTGGGCTAATGATGGAACTGGGTAAGCCATCGGTAGGCTTGGGAAGAGTTTAGGTGGAGCTTATTTTGTTATATGTTGAGTTGCTGGTATAGTAACATCCACTATATTGCCAAAAGTATTGGGACGCCTCTCCAAATCATTGGATTCAGGTGTTCCGTGAAATTTCCTCCCTACTAAATATTCTGCGCTCACCTGTTAGCGGTATTATAATAAAGTGGAAGCAACTGGGAACAACAGCAGCTCAGCGACGAAGTGGTAGGCCACGATAAAATTACAGAGCGGGGACAGCGCATGCTGAAGCGCACAGTGCGCAGAAGTCGTCAACTGTCTGCAGAGTCAATAGCTACAGACCTACAAACTTGGTGTGGCCTTCAGATTGGCACAACAACAGTGTGTAGAGAGCTTCATGGAATGGGTTTCCATGGCCGAGCAGCTGCATCCAAGCCGTACATCACCAAGCGCAATGCACAGCGTGGAATGCCGTGGTGTAAAGCACGCCGCCACTGGACTCTAGAGAAGTGGAGACGTGTTCTCTGGAGTGACCAATCACGCTTCTCTGTCTGGCAATCCGATGGATGTGTCTGGGTTTGGCGGTTGCCAGGAGAACGGTACTTGCCTGACTGCATTGTGCCAAGTGTAAAGTTTGGTGGAGGGGGGATTATGGTGTGGGATTGTTTTTCAGAGGTTGGGCTTAGCCACTTAGTCAGTGGCGTCACAAGGGGGGTGTCACCCCCTCTGAAAAGTCGGGCGCTCGGTCATGGACCGAACGCCCGACAGTATCAGTAGAGAGGAGGGGACCCGGCGGCATACCGTATCCCGACGGGGGACTGTCCCCTCCTCTCTCTGCCGGCGTCCATCACCAAGATAGCTGCCGGCAGGTATCAGAATACTGCTGCGCGTGCGCGATGACGTCATCGCGAACGCGCATGGTGACATCACGCACATGCGCAGTGACGTCTCCGCGGGGTGACACTCGGTTACCGCTCCGGGTGTCACCCAGCCTCGGGACGCCCCTGCCCTTAGTTCCAGTGAAGAGAACTCTTAAGGCATCAGCATACCAAGACATTTCATGCTCCCAACTTTGTGGGAACAGTTTTGCATCCAGTCTTTGCTTCTATCAGTGTCCTCAATAATTACCTAATCTTGGTTGCTAAGACTTTATTTTCTGAGCCTGCAGTTATTCTCCATATGTTTCAAACCTACCTTTTGCGCACATGCTTGCACTATTTACTATTGAAACATCTACCCCCACTGCTTCAGGCATGACACTGCCAGAACATCTTTAGAAAGCCCCATATGGATTGGTAATGGATTGCTCTTGGAAGCAATAAGAACTCCTGTACATGTATTTCAACTGTGTATGTGCTCTTCACTACATTTGTCCATTCCCTTCCCTGTACCCACCTATAATCTGGAAGACATCTTCACCAATGATGACAACAGGGCTCTGTAGGTCGAACACCCCAGGGCTTTGTGGGATACTAAGATTGACCCCAGGGCTTTCGCCGTCTAGTGGTGCTCTGTCTGTTACTGTCTCCTTTTTGCAGGTCTCCAGTTTCAGATTTATCTTGGGACGCTGAACCTCAGATGGATGTGATTTGTCTTTTCCAGGAGGAACATTGTTCTTCTTGGTTTTAGTGCCTGACCTAAAAGAATGTATAAAACCAATTTGAACTAGTTCTTAGGGGTGCATTTACAAAGCAGCAGTATGGCCACGGTATAGATTTTTAAAAAAGCTTTTCACATTTATAAAGCCACTTTATGAAGCCTGAGGAGAACAATACAAATTAATGGAAATTTAAAAAGAAACAATGAGAGGAGAGCCCCGATCACAAAGCTCTTTTTCTAATCATGGAGCCCTCTCTGCCCATTTTATGAATGGGCATAAAAAAAAACAGGAGTTTGCATAACCCAGGAGAATATAATGGAGAACGTAGAGCAACATCAGATCATCTACTGATAGGCCCCAAACTGTTTTTTACGGAGTAACCTGCACAAGATTCCCAATATTGATTCCTATATGGTTTTGACATAATAGAGCATTGGTTCTCAACTGGTGGGTCGTGACCCAAAAGTGGGTTGCGACCCTGTGTTCAGTGGGTCGCAGCGTGCCTTCCACTTTTCTAGGTGAGAGGCTCTTCAGCCTCCCCTAGCGCAGAAATGTCAGTTCTCGCGCTAAGCAGCCATTCAAAATATGCCGCCCGGCACCGTGTGTCAGCTTGAGGTGGGCTGGAGCTATGTCCGCGAGAGAACTCCATCTATACATACATTGCTTACAGCTCCCTCGCATGTCCTGTAGGGGTGCCTGGACCAGACTGACGTCACATTCTGGCTCCCGACACCTATACAGAGTGCGCAAGGAAGTTGTACAAGCATTGCACATATGGATGGAGCTGCATCACATTACAGCAACCAACGCTGGACCCCTGGCTCTCGTAAGGTGGGGAGACGTGTAGGGCCCATTCTCACTAGTACAGTGTGATAATCGAACAGTCCTGTGCCATTAATGCACTGTACCACGCAATCGCACCTACTATGCGTTCTGGTGCAGGACGTGCGTTGCGTTGCCATTCATTGCGTTGCCCACAGTTCAATCGCCCACACCGAAACGTGCGGTACCACAATGCCGTTCCTTCCATTACAGTGTGACTTGGGTCGTGACTTAATGACCAAGGACAAATGTGGGTCCTGAGGTTATACAGGTTGAGAACCACTGTAATAGAGTATTAACTGAAGCTGGAAACCTGTTATGTATGAACGGAACTGTAGGCTCAGTTCTTTGGTTTCTCACCCAGGCATTGATCTAGCCCATCAGTCTACTCTACTGCTATTTGTCAGCAGTCTGGTGATCTGGCAAATCACGCTTGCCATGCAGGAGAAGAATTCCTTAGTGGATTACATAGAATTAATTTAAACTGGGTGACTAGCTATAGCACAACTGAGTAATAGAGTATAACAAATATAATATATTATAATACAGCAAATAAAATACATGTTAACCCAACTACTAAAGTTTCATGCTTAACAAGCAGTTTCAAGTATATTTTTATAATTTGTAGACCTGCAGCCTTTGTTAAATCGATACCAGGTGATCCTACCATGAAGATCCTTGTGCAGACATTTCCTGATATAGGGTAACACTTTGCCCCTGTCTCTTTTTTGTGCTCCTGCGTGGCGCCCTGTAAGAGGCGCTTCTATATGGAGACTATAGGTGACCATCTTAAAAAAACATTACTCAGTAAAGGTCCACTGCTGTCACTATTGGGAAACATACCCCGAGAATGCCATGCAACCATCGCTGAAGTGCATGTAGGAACAAAATAACAAAAAGGCTGCAGGGGATCAGCAGCACTGAGGTACAGAAAATGTTTAAAAAAATGTTTACTTTATATATTATTACTGGGATGACTGGAAAGGAAGTCAGATGTGCACTTAAAAGTATTCCGCCTTACTATGCCCTCTATATATAAAAAAAATGACCTGTCTTAATAATCTCCTGAAGCCATTACACATTTATCTAGGAACCTTATTAATAATGTTTAGTCAATGAAGACCTACACTTAGAAGCTATCCAGCTGAGACAAGCATCCACTGAGGAGTGTTAGTATATTTTGTGTTTTCCTTAGCGCCATGGGAGCTCCTGAACTCGAGGCTCTCAGTTTGCAATCGGCATCCCCTGGCTACGAAATTGGAGCTTGGCCACAGCACATCTCTCAAAGCTCTGAGCCTCTCTGACCATTAGTCAGGGTCCCATTGCAAAAGTACATGACATGAATCAGATACTGAGCTAGAAATAATCGGTATCTGTATACATCTTCTCGGGGTGCAAAGGAAAATGACTAAAGGTATGTGAGAGCTAGAAGATTAGGTTGCAATAAAACTGGGAGCTGGGTCTTGTCATTTTGGTGCCAACAGATTTATCATACTGGAATAACCCTTAAAGCTGAACTCCAGCCAGATATAAAAGACACATATCAATGCAGCGCGTTACTACATCCCAAATTTTTTTTTTTTTTTTTAATGCAAGCAGTGTACGTACCTGATTTTGCCTTGGTAAAAGCCTCTTGCTGTCCCTGTGCAGCAAAGCTCAGACTTGTGGAGGGAGAAGCAGCAAAATGAGCCAATCAGTGTGCCGCAGTGCAAGGAGCTTGTTGATAAGAGGAGAAGGCATAGTGATAAGCTCATTAGTCTGCTGCTTCCCCTACCTGCCCTAAGCAACACCAGCTGTCTTCAACCTAAGGGACACCCCTGCTCCCCTGGGGAGTGCTAGCATTGGACTTTCCTTCAATTTTTCAACCTAAGGGAAATCACCTGCTAGACAGGTGTCACTGGAACAAGTGTCCCTATTGGAAGTGTTCCCTTTTAATCCTGTTTAGGTGACAACTCCAAATTTTAGATTTTGCCTCACCTTCATTCCAGTTGACAATGGTCGCCAGGACAAACATAGAGGGTAAATTTCCCCAATGGGGACACAGCCAGCAGTAAGAACCTGACAAAGGTTCTAACCTTTCCTGACACTACCATACATCTACAAAAAGCCTTTAGATGCACTTTAATGTTCCTCTCTAAAGCTGAAATGTATTCAGCCTTCTCTGGTTCCTCCCTCCTCCTTCATCAACATGCTAATGGAATTTTTTTAAAATAAAACCCACATACCTTATTTTATATTCAGTAATGCCATCACTGGGTCTTGGTGCTTGTCTGTGCAATGCAGGCAGATCATGGCTAGAGGGAGAGGCTGTACATAGGTTCCTGAAAACAGCAGACTGCCCTAGGTAACACCCACATGGGATGCTGAGCCTCCATTATTGACACAAATGAAATCCAATTAGTAAAGGGCGCATCAGAAACAGTTCAGCCAGGGATGAAAGGAATACATTATGCTGGACATCCTCCAGCCAGGAAATGAGACAGACTCAATCTGCATTGGAGGCTACTAGTCCTATCCCCAGCCAAGCTGTCTATGATTTGGACTCTAAATGATTTTTGGTGCTTGCTTTTGATTGGTTAGTAGCATTAGACTAAAGACATGTTGACACTATGAATACCTCTGTATTACCTGTCCGCAGCTGCTGTTGGTGCCACCTCTTTAATTTGGCTCATCTCCCCTCCTTTCTTCTTAGTGTCGGAGGAAGGATCCATAGCCACTGCAGAGGCAGTTTTGCTTGTTTTCCGCTCTGTAGTCTCTTCTTATCTAGTTTTGGCTGTATCTTCTCTATGCCTGGATCCCGGGAGGGGGGAGCCCCTCTCTGATCCTCAGCTGTCCTAGTGGAAGCCGTTGGATTATTTTGTTGTCCGTAGTTGTCCACTCTACCCCCTGAAAGAAAAACATCCTAGTGTTAGATCTTCATGTTACAATGAAACTCACTTCACATACCATTACACATGATTATGAAGATAAAGAAGGGGACAGCACTCTCTCATAAGAGTCATAACTGGAATATCATTGGAATTCTCTGCAGTCTCCATCTTACTATACCACTTCGACGAATCACAGCACATCTCCAAAAAATCCCTGGTATTGCACCTGCTAAACGCAGCTAAAACAGTGATTCCTAGACACTGGTAGGTGACCTGCCTGCCGACAATTAGAGAATGACTATCTCGAGTGGATACACTGGCAAACATGGAGGAACGAATCTCCAGTGACAGAGATACCATGCCTCGCTTTGTGAAAACATGGGCAGCCTGGCACTTATTCAAAGCGACGGACAGGTACACTGTCCTAACACAGTGATACCTAATTCCCTATACTCAGGTCATCCACCCTTTATCTCTCCCCTTTGGCCCCGCCTTCAATCTTCCCTACTGCCCGACCTTGTATGCAGTAGCGCCTGAAGCTCTTTTCAGGATTACCGGAACCGGGCGAGACGCTTTCTCTTTCTCTCTTTCTCTTCCTTTATGTCTCTTCCTGCAGCCCAATCTTCTCTAACCCTTCTCCACTACCCTTCACCATTCTTCTTACCCACTTTCTCCATTGGCCCCTCCACCTCTTCTAGCTCTATAGGAGCCCTGAACATAATCCCCCCCCACCTCCCCCACCCCC